GTAATGTAATGTGTGTGTGAAGATAGTGAGTAATTGAACTGCAGTCAGAAGTATTATTGACGTTCGTTGATATAGCGTTTGTTTTAGCGCGATTGTTGAAAATAAGTGTATCGTAAAGTTGTATTCGGAAAGAATAAACCAGTTTTATTTAGTAAAGAACTTGTGTCGCTAAAGTTTCGTCGGAACGAAGTTACGGAAAGTTAATTAACAAACGGAGAGGTATCAATACTAACAAGTTTTATTAATAGGGGGTTCTGACCAATGTGGGAGTAATAAAATGTTTACAAATAGAGGCTTTGACGAAAGTGAGAGTAACTAACAAGGTTTCTGGACTACTATGTTGGGGATATCAGTAAAGAGATGCATTACTACAGAACACTTGTTAACAATTATACACTGTACTTACCCAGCAGGATAGGCCACAACATTTAGCTTGGAATTACAGTCAAGAGCAGCATTACTGTAGACACTTAAGCCTAATACATGTTGAAGTTCAACCTGGAAATAAAGAATTATGTTATGTTGTAGGGAATGATCAGCACACAAATAAATTTATTAAAACTATTCTGGTGGGTGAATTTTAGGACTTGTCTGTAATGATGCATGATCGTACATAATAAAGGCTTGGTTAAACTTCTAACTACTCAAGGCGCCATTTTTATCAAGTTTTCAAACAAAACAGCAACTACCTGTCTGACAAGCACAGAACAATTACGTCAAGGAGTTTGCCCAAATCACAGTTTTTAACCAATCTTTTTACAGAATATTTTGTAATGAAGGAATTAGTCTCATTTCTGATACGTTTTGCCAAACCTTTATTTACCGACAACAACATTGAAAGTAATCTATTTGTCAAATGTACTGTACTCATAGGAACTCAGATCTTGTCGCTTCTGCAATTCAAAGTGCAGTTTTGTGTCTTCTTTTAGGACTTCAGTACAAAGCTCTATTTTTTATGTTTCTTGGTAGTTTATTCAACACAAGTATCTAAAATCAGTTTTTAGCAGCGGGAGCTCTCAGACATACCACTGCGCCACTGGGGGCAATTTATTTTGAATAGTACACGAAGTTACCACTAACTAGTAGAAAACTTGATAATAAATATACTGTGAGGGCAGGTTCCGGGAATGGTAAATACCAGTACTTCTTTATGGAGGGAGAATTTAACCATTGGCTAAGAGTGGATTTTAACTTTTAATGAGGAAGGCGTAGTAGAGTCGAAAAACGTTTAGCGATTGGATGACGAACTTACTGATGGCACGAAATATTGATAGGGTGGGTTCACGGCAAATGGCACTCCACTAAAACAAAACAGGACAAAATATCCTTCAGTCTGAAGCATTTCATTCTGAATGTTTTTCTCTTTGTCGCTGGTTTGGTGGTGTATTTTGATACTTATATTTTTGTATAAGACGTCCTTCAAACAGTTTAATATTTCAATAAAGACGCATACAATAATATGTCTTTTAAAACCTTTTGTAATGAACCAGATTTGGTGTATGTGAAAATATATCCAACATACAGGCTTCTTTTGAATACTGTTCCAAAATCTTAAGTTTTCTATACTGAAAGAAAAATATACACCAAAGTTACCAAGCTATACAGTATGAGTTTGTTGAAATAATGTAAAACTTATGAATCTGCAGTAACATTCATTTTACTCTGGAGCTGGAAGGTGTCCTGAGAGATGCTAGCCTACCAGCTATGGCACGACGTGACATAGAGTCCACAAGGAGCTGGAAGTTGTCCTGAGAGATGTCATCCTAACAGCTATGGCATGACGTGACATAGAGTCCACAAGGTGCTGGAAGGTGTCCTGAGAGATGTCATCCTAACAGCTATGGCACGACGTGACATAGAGTCCACAAGATGCTGGAAGGTGTCCTGAGAGATGTCATCCTAACAGCTATGGCATGACGTGACATAGAGTCCACAAGGTGCTGGAAGGTGTCCTGAGAGATCTTTCAGTCATTTATGGATCGAGGTAGGCAGAGAATCGTGACGGTGAATATGTATTTCAATTTCATCACACAGATGCTCAACTGGATTGAGCTTCAGAGACTGTGATGACCGTAGGAGATTCTTAAAGTCTACATAATATTCCCCAAACCATCCACGCACAATTTGGGTACAGTTTATGGAAATATTACCATCTTTTCCCATCAGGGTACCACTGGATGCATTTGATCACAAATGATGCTGAATTAAGCTGTGAAATTCTTCGGTGTGCCAAGAAAAATTACCACAAACCATGAATCAATCACCAGAGGGCTGGACAACTGGGACAACACAATAATGGTCGAGTGATTCCAAATACGTCTCCCTCCATCTGTGTAGAAAAGGGTAAAGCATGACACACATGACTGCATCAATTTTCCACAGTCCCCATTAGTCCAGTTCTTATGCTCCTTACACCACTCGAGGAATTGTTTCTTGTTGGTAAATGAGACCAGTGGTTTAAACAGTAGGGGTTTCTACTGACAGAGTCTAGTTGTTGAAACATTCTTTGTAAGGTACAACCGAAGATTGGTGTATGTTACCCTGCACTAAATGTTGGTGTGTTGTTGGAGGATACAACCGAAGATTGGTGTATGTTACCCTGCACTAACTGATGGTGTGTTGTTGGAGGATACAACCGAAGATTGGTGTATATTACCCTACTATAAATGTTGGGAGCCCGGCTTGGCCAGGTGGATAAGGCACTCGAATCGCAATCTGAGGGTCGCGGGTTCGAATCCCTGTCCTACCAAACATGCTCGCCCTTTCAGCCATGGGGGCGTTTTAATGTGACGGTCAATCCCACTATTCGTTGGTAAAAGAGTAGCCCAAGAGTTGGCGGTGGGTGGTGATGACTAGCTGCCTTCCCTCTAGTCTTACACTGCTAAATTAGGGATAGCTAGCGCAGATAGCCCTCGTGTAGCTTTGCACGAAATTCAAAAACAAACAATAAATGTTGGTGTGTTATTTGAAAATACTTGAGCTTCACCATTCTGTTTCACTACGTTTCTCCTCTTTCTGTCACTACATGTTTGTAGCCACAATTTCACTTCGCACCAGACATTTTATTCACCTTTTACCACTGTTAATAAATTCGAATTACCAATATCTTGGAGCAACCTACCAATGGAACTGTTTAGGCCACTATGACACCTGCTAAACATAGACCCACTATCATGCATGTGCTTGTTCCAAAGATTTATGGTGCTGCAGAAATCACCTGATACATCATGTGACCAACGTAGTGTGAATCTGCAGCTTAGGTCAGGCCCAAGTCTGGAAAGGTACATTATTCCTAATAAAGTGGCCAGCTAGGGTACATCATAATGGATGTTATTTCCTGTGTTTATACTAACCAGACTGTCAAGTATTATAACTGTCCAAAACTGTACATCTTCCAGGTAATTTTAGTGTTGTTTTTTTCTGACTTCTTTAATTTTTTCTAGTTGAAATGGAGGATGCGTGTTGCTAACAGATCCATTGATTACAAGAAGAAACCAGTTTACTTATCATGTCATCGTCTTACAGTAAGCCAAGGTCCCCATAGCATTTGATTCACTCCTTTCGTCCATGAAATCAGAATAATACTTTCTTTCCAGCTTTGACAAAAATGTCAACCTTGCGGAGACTCTTTGAACTTTTAAATATCAAGTAAATGTTAAAATCATTTCGTTTAATTTTCCCCAACTGGTTATAATATCTTAACAAATTTATCTATCAAATGAATAGTAGTGTGGTTGATTTGTTGTATTAAAAGTCCAAATGAAGTTTAGTATTGTGGCAAGAATGTTCTATTTGTTTGATTTCCACAAAATATATAAAAAAAAACATTGTCATGTATAGTGTTTTTTTCTCTTGATTGTGATAGTGATACTTAATAACATCTCCCTCCTCCTTCTGTTATCATACGGTATGTTGATGCTTACCTCTCTCTTTCCTCTCTCTCTCCCTAACATACAATATAATGATGTTGATTGGAATCTCATTCCTGCATGCTGAGTCTTGTCACTGAGGAGAGGGCTTAACTTGAGGACATCAAATTCCTGAGGATGTGTGCATCTATGGACTTAGAGAAAAATGTTAGAGCTTCTCTCGAATGTGCACAGCCTCTCAGCTATTTAGCAGGAAGGAGCTGGTAGCAGATTCCTATCAGAACCACCATATAATTATTGCGGTGAGAGAAAACAGATAAACACACCAGTAGTTAAAGGGATGCGAGAAGAGGACTTGGATCATTTCCTCAAAATTTTCAAGCAAGTTGTTGCTTGGGATGAATGAGCTCAAGGACAGGTAGTGGTGCAACTTTATGCAGAATTTTAGATAGTCCTGCACTCGAGGGTCAGCTCAACAACTGGGAGATACACAGTTGTCAATAAGTTACAGATTCGACCCTTTGGAGAACAGTGCAATCTCAGGGGCAGAGTTCAAACCTAAAAATTGAGATGCTAGTGAGAGCTTGGTAATTTAGATAAGCAGTTTGTGATTGGATGTGAAGAAATTCCTGCACATACTTCCCATAGATCATGATGAGATACTCATTGATCAGTTTATTGAGTGTATTCTGAGTAAAATTATATGACATCAAATTTGTCTGAGAGATATATTGTCTCTCACGGAGGCAGGTTCTGTGGGAATGTGGTTTAAAGTAGTTATTTTAAACCAGTAGCGTAGCTTCTGCAGCTGCAGACACGGCTCTGAGACTGCCTTCAGGGTTCATGCTGGGCCTCAAGGCCCACAAAAAAATGTTTACTGACAATTATATCAACTCCTATGCAGCAGGTGCAAGACATCAAGGTGCAGTCACATGGTTCCCTATGGGGTAACGGGGTTTTCGTGGTTCAGTCATTAAAGCTACACCACAACTTCGAAAGATGCCAAGAGCATGAAGAAAGGAGTCCGTGCTTTAATTTTGGCTTAACTGTTCATTGGTTTTCTGACTCTCCTTATCATACAAACAGGCAGGATCACAGTGCAAGAAAGTCGACAGTGAGCAAAGGCATTACATTACCTACTAGTTTAAAGTCATAGGGCACGAGTTGGATCTGAGTACCAAGGTGAGTGCAGCAGTCAGTTTGTATCTAAAGTTATGGTGGGTGTCTGGAGATCCATGGACTTGGCATCACATGTTACAACCACCGTATCACGTTCAATAACGAATATGCAGCTTCCAGAGCATCTAGCTGAAGATTATGTAAACAACCTGAACTCAACACAGAGACGTTAACTCAATGAATTGCTTAGGGGTTTGATGAGGTCTTCATCGAACCAGATGACTGACTGTGATGACAATAATAGCATATCATCACATAGGCACGGGTGATGTACATCAGATAAAACAAACACTGTGTAGATTTCTTGGAAGCACCAGAGAGACAGCTAGTGTTGTAATTGAGCAGATATTGAATGATGGAATAGTACAATCTTTGGAGAGCGCAGGGTCTTCTATACTGACGATTATCAAAAATATGAAAGGAATGAAAGGCTTTTTATGGACTTCAGAT